TTGCAGTATCAAATCAGTGCTCTTAATGTGCTCTGGAATTTGATTTTTTGGGCTTTTACCATTTAGAAAATGTATCCAGTTGAAAGGACAGTCTCAGAGGCAGGGAAGCCTTTCCACAAGCAGCAGCTGTTCCTGCTGTTTAATGTGTCTGTAACTAGAAAATACAATCTGAAAATGTACTCACCAACTCTGTGTTCTTTCCATGGGCTATAACCATTCCTACTGCAGACCTGGGGCTTTGGTCTTGCAAATTCCCGTGTCATGTTGCCACGTCAGAATTATGGCACTAACATACAGTTATTTTGTCATGATATACACATGTGGTGTATCTCATTGGCTCATTTGCAGAGGCACCTCTATGGCACTGAAAGGGTGGTTACTTCTGTAGCTTCTGAAGTCCTGCAGCTAGTGAACTGGAACAGAACAAGCATTTTGGTTTTCTGTAGAATGAAAAGCTTGAGCCTGATTATATTAAAAATATAGAGGTCCTTCTGAATGTTTGGCTTGCATCCCAGCCAGTGGAAAGTGCAAAGAAGTGCTTTAGCTGCTTCAGTGTCAAGTTGAAATTCATTTTCTCCCTCCCAGCTTGATCAGCCACTGAAGGTCATCTTACTTCAGTTGTTCCTGAAGTGTCCTGCATACACACAGAGCACACACACTGGGGTCAACGGGGTTTTCATTCACTGGGGAAATGATTTGTAGCTATTTATAAAGCAGTGTTGTAATTTATTATTTGAATTCTGTTGCCTAGATTGAAAAAGTATCTGATAGTCAACTGGAACCAGCAGTTCCATTTTAATTCCACAGGGTAATAATTTTCTACTATTAAAAAGCATTACTCCAGTTATTATACGTATTAGTCGGTGGGGTTTTTACAGCACCACAACGAAAAACTTGCCAAGTAATAAATTCCATTGAAAGGTTTCTTTGTGTCTTTAGGAAAAGTTTACATGAGATACTTCCCTACTTACATGTAATAAAAGGAAATAATGAAGTATACAAGTAACTATTAACTTGTGCTATTGTGTATTTTAATGGTTTTGTTATGGGTCACTTTCCAAACCATACAGATCCAAAAAGGTGCCTTGGCATTTCTCTGAATCTCTCCTTTTAATTTACAAAAACCTGATTCACAGAGATTCTGGAATTAAATAATTGCTCCAGCTGCTATGCTTTAAGTTTTCCAGTCCTTTGTGAATCATTGCATGGTTTTGCACAGCCTGGTTGTTGTGACATAAATATTTTTGTAATTGAACAAATATGCTTAGGTTTAGTTGGTTTGTATTTTTAACAACAACAACAAGTCATTTTTAGAAGGATTTATTTAATTTTTAGGAAATGAGATTAATCGTGTTTTAAAGCATGATTTCCTTTTAATGTCGCCAACTAATTAAAGCACGGGAATTATTTTGATTTTTGTCTCAGCCATAACAGCTTTGTTGGGCTTTGGGTACATTTTTTCTAAGTCTTTCTTTGCTTTAGATGTTTTGCTGTTTGGCAGTTGTTAAGCTACCTGCCTTCTCGTTTGATGTTCTAGGAAAGAGTTCAGGCCACTTCTGTCTGAGATTTGAAAAAATGAAAAATGTGATGCATTGGAGCAGATACACAGCAGGACAGAAAGCCAAATGTGGCAGTGATCAGCAGCAAAGCCACATGCGTGGGCTCAAAGCATAATTAGGAGACTTTATACATTTTAATTCTAGGAGAGGAATGATAAATCAGTGCTGCTGGGGGCTGCTTCAGCCAGGCAGGGCAGCCACAATCCATGGGTTTGCAGCTGGGACCGGCAGCACCCCCATGCACCTTGTTCTTGAGTGACTGTGAAACTTCCTGGATGTTAAGTTTCATTCAGATTTCTTGGGGAGAGAAAGCTAAATTGGATACAGAGGCACCTTCATGTGCACTAAAAGGTGCAACTGGACCCTGGAGAAACAAGAAAAATCCATCCAGGTTTTGGGGTGCCTTGGAATGGTGCTAAGCATGTTGCTGTGGTGCCGCAGCATCCTGCATTTCTCCTGTGTTTGCAGATCCTGCTGCGGCTGTGGAGAGGGACAGTGGCACTGGGGTGCTCAATGCTCATGTAAGAGCCGCCCCATGGGCTGCTGGGTCCTGCGACTGGAGCACCAAGTGCCATGCAGGACCTGAGCTGTGTCATAGAATCACAGTATGATAGAATGGTTATGGTTGGAAGGGACTTTAGAGATCATTAGGTTCTAACCCCCCTGCTATGAGCGTTCCGTGGTACAAGCTATTCGCTGTGGCTGAATGCTGGTCATCATTCTTCAGTGTCATTTTGTTGTGGGTTTTTTATCTCCTTTCTCAGCAGCCACCCCATCACTTCCCTTTGCAGCAGTTTCCCCTGCTGTCCTCCCTGGATGTCCTTCCCACTCCATCTCTGTGAGAAGTGCCCAAGAGAGGCAGGGAGCTGTTGGCCACAGGCTGCTGACTGGCCTCTGGGGACACCACCCTTGCAGAGCACACAGTCACCTTGAGGGCTGCTATGCAAGGGTCATCTGCAAGCTTAGGACACCCACCCTCTCTGTACTCTTCTGATTCTGTAGATGAATTTGCTAAAGCTAGAAACTGCCAAGAGTTAGAGCTGGCATTCTCTGGTAGGGCTGCTGAAGACACACAAATACACTGAGTGGCTGCTGCACTGGAAACCTCTGAGTTGATGCTGCTACTGTGTTTTCCTCTGGACTTTTGACTGCTGGGTTCACACGTTGCCACCAAATTGTGCTTGAAAGTATATATATTCATTGTGGTCGTATAACTTTGTGACCGTAAGGGGAACCACAGTCTTGTGGACTCAGTAATGCCACTTCTGCAAATGCTGCCAAAGAATCACCCCATTCAGCATGGGGTTTGCTCTGTGGATTCTGATTATACAGCTGCAAAATGTGGTATTTTCGTAACATGCCACTGAATTTAGCATTTTTTTTTCCTGTGGAACTTTCTATTTTGCTGAAGCCAGGTACTTGACATTTTTCTGTTAGTCCTTTGGGGTTAAAGGGGGCAAGAACTCTGCCAGCAGCTGCTTCTTGTTTTAGGCTGTTCTCTGGGGAGCACTAATTGGAGTCCAGGCCTGAAAACTGAGGAGATGGGGCTTGGCACTGGTGTACCTGGCATCAGGAAAGGTCTTTGACAGCACTCCATGAGCACTCTGCTGATCCTGGCAATGGGGAGAGAAGGGAGAAAAAAGTCCTTAGTCATTGACTGATTTCAACCCAGTGTGAGCTTTTCACTGGTGCCCCGTGGAAGGTTGGAGGTGTAAAAGGTGTATTTGCCAGATGCTGATTGATGCTCAATCTGGGCATCCGGTAGTGAATGGTGCTTGTGAAGATTTGCCTGGTGGTGAAAAACTTGTCAGGCATAAGCAGCATTTCAGATGTGCTCCCCTGGCTCAGCTGGGCGCAGGACAGACTCTTTGGGCTGCTGTGTGCATGCCATGGCACCTCTGTGGCTGCAGATGTGGTGGTGTGAGAACTGGATTGTGGGAAGGGCTTGTCACTGGTGTGGACACAGTGTCCTTTTGCAGACATCACTCTGGGACCTGCTGTAAAAACGTCCTTCAGCCTTTTCACGAGAGCTCTGTCCTGCGGCCAAACTGACACCCTCTGCACCCGATTGGGTGCAGGAGGCACAGCCAGCCACAGATGGACACTGCCAAAGGCATCTAAGACATTAATTGTCATTTGCTTTCATTTATAGTACAAGACCAAAGTTGATACTTCTCAGGGATGCAGAACATCTTCACTTAATCCAAGCTGCCAGCCTTTCCTTTGGGAGGCTACACCCACATCTGTGGGTGCAGCAGCATTTCCTGAGGGTGCAGTTTGTGTATCAGCACAAAGCCTTTCAGGTAACCATATATGGCTCCTGGGATGCCTTATTAAGCCCAATTAGCAATGGTTTGCAAATTAGATTTATTTCATAGCTTTTTCTTATTGTTCTCCCAGACTACTGTGGGACATTTTCAGGAGCTCACATCTAACATGCCTGTCTTGGCACACACTGGGAGAGCCTGTCCCCTTGCAGGATTTCTGTCTCTCTCAGGAGTCACAACTAGGCTGGGAAATGCAGCTCAGTGGGGCCAGGACCGCAGTGACAGAGGAACCAAGCTGCTGTGGGTGACTTCTGCTCCTCTAGAAGTTACTGAGTCCAAGTGCTTTGGATGGAGGAAAGCCCCCTGAAGTTGTCTTGCTCTTCTCTACAGCATGTGTCTGAAATGGAGAGGGGTTGCCAGGTCTTGTGAATGGAGATAAAGGGGTGACTTGCCCCACACGCAGTGCAGTGTGAACTGCATCTGATCTCACATGGGATGAGGCCGTACTTTTAACTTGTGGAGGCAAAAAGCCAACCAAAACTGTATTTAATGTTCCTGCACTACTGGGACAGTGATGTGCTGATGTACCCACCGTGGCAAGGGCAGCAGGAAGGCTTGCAGATGGTGCAGGGCCAGCACGTACTGGCCAGGAAGCCAGCCATGGTCCACCACATGCTGGAAGATTTCTGGTCCTTCCACTGGAATTCTAAAGGTCCCTTGGTTTCTTTCACCTACACTTGGACTGCTTTAGTTCACAGTTACTGAAATGTCACAGCTTTGTTTAAATCACTCTCAGGCATTTTAAGGATGGAATCTTAGGTTTTATCAGGCAGACTGATGATGTTAAGAACAGATGACAGTACATTTGTTTCCAGTTTTTAATGCTTTCTTGTAAAACTGAAAATATAAAACCAGCAGAGCAATGAAGATCTTTATATACATGAGGTCTGTGATTAAAAAAATCCTTTTAGTAAAAAAAAAAAAGAGAGAGAAGAATTGACCAATGAGTTAAATGAAAACTGATCAAAGGGACCAACATTCTCAAATTGAAACATACTTTTCAGGAAAAAAAACCAAACAACCCTTCTTTACAAGTTCATTATATAACTTAGATTTACACTTTACTGAGAGAACTTATAAAACAAGCTGCTTGAAATGCTCCTCATTCCCTTAAAGCATGAATTTCAAAGTGCCACAGCAAAGGAACAGGTTCCAATATTATCTTATACAGACTATTCATGTATAAAATGGTTTGGTAAATGTGAGGTGTTTATTTAAATGAGCACATATAGGGATACAGACTAAATAAAAGTACTTGAAGAACACCTTTGTTATTACATACATAGTTATAGGTATAATAAAGGAAACAGCATTAGCACTGCTCTTAGGTATCTGTATAGATGGAAGGAATGTGATTCAAGCAGTGATCAAAGGCGCCATTTTGGAAGAATCCGTTCTCATCAGTTCCACTGGAGACCATGTCTTCAGAAACACACTGCGCTTCAGAGCCTGCATCGTAGCCTGCAGCATGACAAGTGGCAGGGACATGATTGCACACATAAACATGTAAGTACATATACACAGGACATATAAGGAAGGCAGCAGAATTTGAGGCCTGCAACTATACAGTACAGTGTTAATGAAAAGACAATAGGGTTTACCATCAAAGACTCACCCAGGAGATACACAAACTAATCTCCACGGGCAGTTGTGTCATAGCAGACGAAGCTCCCATTCGTTTCTGTGGAAAGCTACCCATTTACTAGCTAAGTGCAAGTATCAGTGTATGACTCTCTTGGGACTTAACAGTCATTATCTGAATAGGATGTCAAAACAATGAGTGGGCAAGGATCCTAGTAAGTGTGCACTAAAAGTGATGCAGTCATCTCATTTTGTGCGTTTTTCCTTTTAACGGCACTTAGGAAAAATCTTCTATGTGTCTTCTAGCTGCTCTTAAGATCCAGAAGAAATCCGGATCCTTCATTTATTTGATCCCCACATATGGCAGAAGTGAGGTCTGTGGAAGCATGTCTGTGTCAGGTCAGGCTCACAGGATATGTGGAAGGAGCTGTGCACCATGTTGTGCTCAGCTCACCAAATCCTACCATGCTGCTGGCTCCTCACCTGGCTGAGCTGGCTGGTGCTTGCCAGGCTACCAGAAAGCCACCATGGTGGAGAAGAATTTATCTGTCCTTCTCCTTTTATAATGCAAAACTTTCACAGCTGTTGTCTGAATAGGGCTGGATCTTCCACTGCCCCTGGGGCTGCAGCAGTCATGGTGGGTCCTGTAGCCTTAAACAGCCAGTCTTGATTCCAGAAAGAACTGTCTGCTCAGTCCTTAGAACTTAATTATACCTATTTTACTATTAGGTATGTTTTCATTATTTGAGACCAAACTCTCTACTTGTTTACATTTCTGCATTTTCCTATGAGGTATTAATTTACTGTTAGTTTACAGGTCAAATTCTGCTGTCTGCAGAGTTCTGGCATGTATGTCCAAAAGTCTCTGTAAGACAAACTTGGCCTGTTCATCTGTCCTGTGCTGTGTTGGTCCAAGCTGAGTGACCAGTATTTTGATACATTTTGTCAATGTTTATATTATGCTAATTTCTCTTTGATGAGCCTGTACACAGGGTGGATACCCAACCACAAATGGAAAAAACCCAAGATAAGCATACACCCCAGAACTCATTATTAGATTCCAGATAGAGTAAACTATCCAAAGTCCTGAACAGAAAATAAAAATTTATTGACTGTTAATGTGATTCATAGAACAGCTGTTTGCCAGTCACATTTGGCATTCCT